GAAAAAAACAATCTAGAGTTAACCAAGCAGTGCATCATACTATTAAGCTTTTAAAAAAATGTTCATCTTATCATAGCTTTGTGCGAAATTTCAATTCAATCAAATGATTTTAAATAACTTATATGATCCGTGACACTCCCGTGTATAACTAATTTCCTTAAAAATTGTTGATTGATTTCATTATCAGTTCATCTCTTTATGCACGCAAAGAGCTATTTTGCATCTATTCAGAGCATTTTTTCAAACCGAATAACAGTTCAGCTTTATTATATATATATATATATATATTATAATATATATATGGAGAAATGGACAAATCCTTAAATTACTAAATCAGCACATTAAGGTCGGCTATGAGGATGCCCTATCGTAATAATATACCAAAAATTACACGGTGTTTTTATGCAAAGGCATGCATTTCATGAGAGGCCGCACAATATTGAAGAATGCCCGAAACATCACAGAATGTGAGCAAACTTCATGTACTTCTCAAAAATTTTATTACCTTCCCGTCTCCACTAGAAATTCGAATTCGCCTTCATGTAAGGTGTTGCTTTTCACTATAACTCCGAGTTACTAAGGTTAGGGTCTAAAAAATAAATTTATGCGATTCAAATTCGCTGCAGTTTTTGGCATATGAGGGCTTAGACTTTCTGAGAATCGTGATATGCATACCTACCTGGTTCCAATTCGGTAAAGTTAACATTGAGTTTTCGTAGCAACACGAGAAGAGTTTCAAATAATTGGCCCGAATTTAGTAAGTTGAAGTGCTGTTACTCAACAAGTTTTGTCGAAAAGTTTTAAAGCAATCCAGAAATTGCGATCTGTGTAGATTGAGCACAAAACTTATATGGATAGATAACAGACGAGCAGACTGATAGATGGACAGGCAAATCCAGATCGGTGTACTAATAGATGGATCTACCTTAAGCCCTTCTGAGTATTGCATACGTCCGCACAAGATTAACCGAACCCTGCACCACAAGTGTTATACGGCATAAAGATAAACATACCATAATACTTATATTCTCATACATAACATATATTAAAGGAACTACAACGACCTGCGATCAGTCGTGGTGTACTGGAACTATTTTTGAAAAGAGATTTGAAATTTATTTGAATTGGCTTTGAGTGAAAACTACGAAATATTTCTACTCACTCGAGGGGGTTTATCAAATTTGATTTGTTTTTTCATTTTACTTTGAATTAACATCAAACACCAAAATATATTTGTAAAGTTGCTGTTACTCAAGATGCCCAAGTTAAGCCTGTTTTTAGTATGAATCCTATCACGAATCGCGTCAAAAGTTCACAGTCAGAATAGGATACTGTATCTTGATCGGGAAGGAACCAATCGACCCAAAATTTAGGACACAGGAACTGTGAGGAACTGTGCATTTACTTTAACAGCCGTAATGCAGTAACGCAGTTTATTATTTTCTTTACGAGCTATGAACTGAACGAAAGCTTATGTAGAACCGTAATGTCGGTGCTATGTTTGTTGCAAACATTCTCCTGATCGCAAAACGATTGGGGATTCTTGCATACTAAATTGGTGGCAAAAATGCGCCAGCCACGTCCATCCAATATTTCAGAGTACGAAAATGTAGTTTTCATCGTTGTTTTTATTTAGCCATTTTGAGGATACAGACGGTGGGATATGAAAGCATAAAAGATTAAATGAAATTTTTCCGATTTTCGTACTTAGTTTGGGAATAAGCGGATAAGCAAAAGATGGCAATAAGTTTGTTACGCTTGACGAGGTCTTGGGCTCGCAATGACGGAGAGTATCAAACAATTGGAAAACAAGCAGGCAGAGAGATATGGACGAAACCCAGTTCACTATCCATTCCGGTCAAGTGTATTCGACTACGATCGGAAAGTGGATTTCGCTTACTAAGCAATTTCCTTCATTCCGAAAATAGCGTATTACGCAAATGTCATTTGAACGAACACCATCAATTTTAATAGGTGAGCTTCATGGAACTGATTATTGTAAAATTAAACATAAATCGTTACGTAATCGCTCTCAGATTTTCAAATTCGAAAAGTTACTCTAAAGCTGTCGTTTCGAAAAATATACTTTTTTTAGATGAGACCAAACTAATGTATAACATCCCACTATAACGCTACGACAATATAAACTGCTCTTCGATGGGAATGAGATCGAAAAATTTAATGAAAAAAAGTCTTAGTACTTTTCGATTGCAGTCGTAGTTAGTGTGCCTTTCAGCAAGATACGATGTTATGCGCTCAGTATAGCTGCGGCCAAAGTGAACTCTACGATGCCCAAGATCTGCACCTGCGAACACTCATTTGGTAGTCACGATTTTTACGCCTACTCGCCTACTCGCCTACTCCTACTGACAGAACTCAGATTAGAAATATAAAATGTCTTGTAATGGCAGAGAAATCGGAAATGATTTGCTCACACGGATATGTTGTAATATTGGGAAAGCAGGCGGAAACTTTAATCTACTTTCCATGGGCCTGCAGACACTCCTATTGCTAGAAACAGAAAGAAAAAGAAGAAGAAAAAATTAAAATAAATAATAAAAACTTTGCACTTTCTCTAGAATTGCTTGCCCATAGGACATTAGGCTTATAGGGTGACTAGAACTTTTTGAAAATTTTTACACCAAAAGGTCGGCATTCCTTGACATTGCTTTACATATATACATTCGATGATATTTCGCATTTAAATGTCTATATCTTATCTCATTCATCATAAAATATATGTAAATAGTAATTTCTAAGTAATACATCATTGGACTTTGACCCTTTTCGTAACAGAGACGATGGAATTTTAAATTAAACCAATCAATGTCAAACACAATCATCGAAAATCATATTTGTGTTAGGATTTGCTCCTAAGGCCCTCTAAATGCTTGTACTTACTTGTCTATACCTATGTGAAAGGTTTCGAAGTAAGTTATTCAATGCAATTCATACGAGGTCTTCGATGGTAAGGTTTTATTAAAATTCATATTAAATTTTCTTGCCTTGTCTTGCATTCATTTAAAAATATTAACGCATTAAAAAGTTTTTTTCTTTTTGACTTTTTAGAAAGCCGTTCGTAAAGCTTCTTCCATTGTAATTGGGTTATATACGTTTTCACTTATGTCGCCGTGTGTCATTCGCTTAACGCTTAGCAATTATACAAATCAGACATAATTCAAATTCAACTCTACAATAAAAGCCATATTACTCTTAAATGTTTATTTTATGTATGTGTGTGTGTGTTTGTTAATATTTTTGCATACGTGTTAATATTAATAGGCGTTGTGGTTAATACAATACATAGAACAGACGCATATTTCGTTTATATAAATATATACATAGGCGTATATATATATATATATATATATATATATATATATATATGCGTTCGTGTAAACGTTTATAACCGCTTTCACTTCTTGGCTGGCTTGTTAACCAATACTTCGCATACACATACAAATAGCTATGTTTGTATGTAAATATTAAACAAAAAATCCGACACAATCAGTGTCAGTTGTGTTAAGTGAATATTCAAGTAATTGTTGATATGACTAACTGCACACAGTAAGTGCACTTGTTGTGGCAGTAGTAACTGCAGAAGCAACACAGAACGAGAAAATCAAATGTAAACAAAGCACAAGTGAACCACACAATACACTTTTTTCTTTTTTTTTTTTCTCTCTTTTTTCTATTTTCTGTTTATTTGTATGTTTGTGTTTGTGTATGTATGT